GGGTTAATTTAAAACATTCAGACATTGAAATGACCATATGTGTGAGGTGGGGTGGTTGAAGTCGAGTTTCAGCGGATTCAGATAGCGGGAACTGGTTCTTTCCCGCATTCCCACCTGCTGGGTTGTGAAGCCAGTTGTCTCTGTTTTTGGCTCATGTTTGAATTGTCAAAGACATCAGAATATTTGTAATATCTCAATTCTTACAGCATCATCAACATCAAGCAGCAGCATTTTAAAAACTCCATCACGGGTCGGATAAAGGTGTTCAGCGGGCCATAGTGTGCCCACCTCTGCCCTACACCATATGAATTATTGTGGTCTAAAACCAGGCATTTTAGTTTTATTGTCCAAGCCCTGTATAAAGTTTAATGCAAACATTTGGGCACCCCTCTTTCACTGCATAGTATGTGTTTTTTTCCTTATAGAGGATTTCAGAAATATTCCATTCAGTTTCAAATAAAAGCTAGATGAGCTCATGTTTTTCATTCAGAAATCCATAGTGTAGCAGCATGGAAATGTGTAAAATTAAACAAACTGAAAAATAGGCTTTGCAAAAGTTTGGTCACCCTGTCTGTGGACTTCAAAACCTAGTAACTTAATGCATATTGAATACAACAAAATTTATTCGAGTGACTAAGTGAACCTCAACAATCCTAAAACAAGTACAACCAAATCATGAAAAGGAATATCTAAGATAGCTACTTGTGCTTCTCCTTATTGTGAATCAGAAAGTAGACACATGGGAACCTCAAAAGAATTCCCAAATGACCTGTAACTAGCAACTTCTCAACATGGATCAGAAGAAGGCTACAAAAAAGTATCACAAAGGTTTAAAGGCTCCATCTTCACAGAAAGAAATATCGTAAGGAAATGGAAGGCCACAGGAACAGTTTTTTTTTTTTTTTTTTGAAGGAAAGATGTGGTAGGCCAAGAAAAATATCTCAAAGACAGGTGAAGAATGCTAAGAATGGTCAAAGACAAACCACAGACCACACCCAAATACTGTAGCTCCAGGAACATATTGCTGCAGATGTGAACAGATTAAACTACTGTAGCCCATAAATTGAATGTGTAATGACACCGAACACAGGATGAAAAATTCAGGGGACTCTTATTCCAGACTGCATTTGGAACAGCGCAGCATTAAGTATAAAAATTTTGGAAAATTGCAATAGAAAAGTTAAAAATAGCATAGAGCCACTGAAAACAATAAATTAGATTTTTTACATCCAAATGTGTTATCCTCTTTTCTTTCTTGTATTCACAATGACTAGAAATAACTTTTTTTAAATTGCAGTAGTACATAAACAACGGTTGCAGCAGTTCATGCTGAGAAAACAAACAAGTGTAAGTCAGCGGTGATGTCCCATATAGGAAACCCCACTGGTAATCGGCACAAACAACAGGAAGTACTTGCCAGTGGAGACAACCCCAGTATCATCTTATTTGTTTTTAATTGCAGTGCAGTTTTTTTTTTAATGTTCAAATGAGTAATTTAAAAGAATTGTATTGGAGGTAAAGATTTAATTATAAGTCAACAGACACAACGTTGTTTTTAAAAGATTTATCTGAAGTGGCAGCTGCTTTAAGCACTCTCCACACATTTTTCAACGCCTCTGGTTTAAATCTTTACTTAAATAAATGTGAATTACTACCCATTAAAAATTGTTGTGTTTCTTCAATTTGTGCTGTAATTGTGAAAACTCAGTATAATACCTTGGCATAAATATAACTAACGATAAAAACAGATGTGATGCTAACTTTAATTCAATCATTGTAAACTAAAAGAAAATTGAATAGTTTGCTTTAAAAAAAATCTGTCTCTTAAAGAAAAAATTTTGCTCACCAAAGCAGAGAGTCTGTCTCATCTCTCTTATGCGGCTCAATCTCTGTACCTAAGTCTGCATGTAAACTAATTGACAAAACTTTAACAGACATTGTCTGGAAAAATAAATTCCACTATATGAAAAAGTCTGTTATACTAGATTCTTATAATAAAGGAGGTCTTAATTGTATTGATTTCTGTTCTTCAAATTATACTTTCAAAATAAATTGGATTAACCAGTATCTAAAAAGGAAGATTCAATTTGGAATATGTTTTCAAATCAAGTATTTTCTTTTGTTGGAGGCATTAAATATTTTACATTTCTGTTAAACTTTCAAATTTCCATTAGCAAGTACTTTTGGCTTGGACTTTAATTTATAAACACAATTTTAATCCTCATACATTTTTTGTTGTTGTTGGAAGAATCACAATATTTTCTATCAAAATAAACTATTGCTTTCCAATCAATTGTTTGATAATATTTTTTTTTATTAATTACTTTGAATTTATTTCAGAATATAACATACCAATAAGTACAAAGATCTTCTCCATTGTTATAGGAGATATAACATCAGGAATCACTATGTTCTTTGAAAACAACCATCCCCAGAAAAAAAGCTTTTTTTTTCTGCAGCAGAGATGTTTGTAGGTAACGTTTGTTTTTTTAATTAAAAGATAGACATTACACAATAAAATCTTTTTTTATTGAAAAGATTGTCACATTGTCTCCAATAATCTCTTATTGAAATAATATATAAAAGAAATATGGTCTTTGCAACTAAAACATTTTCTCACCAACATGGTCAAAGAAGTTAATCAACAAATTTCATCCTATTAAACACTTTATTAAAAAGTTAAAATCTAATATTGATGCAAAATGTTCATTTTGTCAATTTCATAAACTGTCTTACATTTGTTTTGGAATTGTCATTATGTTGTACAATTTTGTAATATTGGCTCATTTATTAACAATAATATGCAACAAGATATATCTGTTAAGATCTCAAAATTCAGGGCTTCTGGTAGTACCTAGAATAGCAAAATCAAGTAAAGGAGGTCGAGCCTTCTCTTTCATGGCTCCTACACTCTGGAATAGCCTTCCTGGTAATGTCCGAGGCTCAGACACACTCTCCCAGTTCAAAACTAGATTAAAGACCTATCTGTTTAGTAAAGCATACACTCAGTGCATCACCTAGCAGGTTCCACACTGGCTTCTACATCTTGCTTATATACAATATGAACAGCAGCTACGCTAATTATTCTCTTTATTCTCTATTTTCACCTGGGGATACTCATCCCGAGGTCCTCAGATTAGGCGGAGTCACTGATTGGATCCAAGACCAGCGACGTGATGATCCCAAGGATTCCATATCCGGGACCAGGCCATATCCTGAGCTGCTGCTGCGCTGATGGTCGTGGGGAGTGGAGAACATGAGTCTGATTCCAGCGACGCTCCAGGGACAGACGAGTCTTCATTGAGGCCATCTTCCAGCCTAAACCACGACGAATGAAGCTCTGCACAAGACTTTTGGCCAGCGGAGAAATTAAAATGGTCGTGCCCAACTGAGTCTGGTTCTCTCAAGGTTTTTTTTCTTCACTCCCATCAGGTGAAGTTTTTTTTCCCTCTCCGCTGTCGCCACTGCCTCGCATGGTTCAGGATTGGTAGAGCTACGCATCGATGAATTTGCTCTTCAGTGTTTGAACTCTCAGTAATGATTAAATCACACTGAACAGAGCTAAACTGAACTGAACTGAACTTAAACACTAAAACCTGAACCACACTGTTCCAATTACTATGACCATTTATGTGAAGCTGCTTTGACACAATCTACATTGTAAAAGCGCTATACAAATAAAGCTGAATTGAATTGAATTGAATTGTTACTTTTAAAAATATTCATTTTGGTTATTATAAATCTGGCACTAGAATAAATGCTTGTTTTGTTATAAATTTAATTAATTTCTTTGTAAATTCTATAGGCCAGTGGTTCTCAAACTGTGGTAGGTGTACCACTAGTGGTACACAGGCTTTTTTCAAGTGGTACGCGGAGAAATCGATGAATAATTCAAGTAAAATAATTAACACACTTTTAACCCTTTTAACCCTTTTACTGATAATTTTTGATCAGTAAAATTATTTTAATAAGCTAAACCTTTTATTTTATTTTCAATTGTCTAATGTTTGTTATGTATTCTATCATTTGAAGCTAATCTCCTTGTATTTGCAACGGTTGTTAGGAGCGTATCCCGTATTTTTATATCCCAATGTTGACAGGTATGGTTTAATAATTTGCTTTTCTGGCACACAAAGCCTACTCTAATGCGCAGTAAACAGATTTAATTTAAATATATCAATTCAAATCATATATTTAAAATACATATATATACATATATATTTTTTAAAAATATCAAAAACAGTTTTTATATGAATATGATGACATATAGCCTATATTTATGAAGTCCAAGGAACATTTCCAGGTTTTGATTAATAGGCTACTGTATATTAATACTTTACATTTAAGTCGAGCAGTTTTCTTTTTAAGAACAGTACCATTTTTAGTTAACTTTAGTTAACTGTTTTTTTTTTTTTTTTTTTGCCTGTAAGCACAGTTAATTTTCAAAATATTTATAATGTTTAAAGTGGTGACAATAATAAATATTCTTAATAACAGGAATTAATCTGCCTGGTTTTTGAACTGTGCAGAGCTGCAGCTGCTTAATTAGGCCTGCTAATTAATTATCCAAAAATGTAAATTTACTAAAATATTTTACTGTTTATTTATTTTTTTTTGCAAATAAATTTAGTTATCATTTAAATTCAACATCATTATTTTAAAATAAGAAAGCAAACAGAACTATGTAATTTTGTAATGACTTTAATGTATACTGTAATTGATTCTTAAACATCTAACCCCTCAAGTTTGAAATCATGTTCTTTATTTGTTTCTTTTTATTACTCTATCTTTGTATCTAATTTTCATTGACAATATAATTGACATTTTGTGTATTATATACAAATATTGTCAACATGTCAATTGTATTTTTGTAAATAACAAAACCTGACGGCGCGACATCGGAAACGCGGCTAATGGTCCATTTGAGAGATAGGAGGCGGTAATGAATTTATGTGGATCGTCTTCGATCACGTGACTCTAGGAAACTGTCGCATGCGCAATACGCAAATAGAAGCTTCAGTGTCATACGTAACATCATTAGACTGGTAAGTTTAAATTTTAAACATTTCGAGGAATCTGTAGTACCACAAACGTCTAGACTGTTTCTAGACTAAAACAAGGTTAACGCGAATTCAATCATTATTAAATCTTTCTTTGTTTTGATGTTGAATCACATGAACGAACGTAAGCTAATGCTAATGTAGTTGTGCACGCGTTTAATACCTATGGAAAATGTTAGTATGAGCCAACAGCTAGTATTGGCTGAAAAATTCCACCTCATTATAACTTTGTTTTCACTCCGTGATATTCAAAGTTCTACATTCATGTTTACAACAGTGCCTGGTTATATGATTCTTCATGTGCATCTTGCATTTGCGTGACACGGATACGCTTAACTAACATGAAAAGCGCTTAACGTGGCTTGATGTAATGTTACCTAACCACCAAGAGAAACGTTCTGTCAAATTTTACTTGCAGTTAACACTTACTATTGTACAAAGAACGAACCCCAATTCCACAGAAAAGGTTAATATAACACATTCAAATGGTAAGCGTTTTCTTACCATTTAAATTCCATTATAAGAAAAACGCTTAACGTGACTTGCTGCACCTTAACAACTAGCGGGCAACCCAAGTTTTTGTCAGGTTTTAGTCATGAAACAAAATTTCTAATATCGAAATTATGAACTCTTATTTTAGTGATACTAGGAAATTATCACGTTGAGTTTTCCCCCAATTGAAGTACATTATGAGCATTAATATACATAACAGCATTCTCACAAAACCAAAATTCAGTAAAATTTTTTTGTAGTTCACACTAACTACTATCAAAAGAACAAGTTCTGATTCCGTGAATAAAGTGAACGGCATGCTATGCCTGTTATCTTAATTGAAGTCTATTATTATAGCTTACTGTGATTAACAACCGAATACACTTTTTCTTTATATATATATATATATATATATATATATATATATATATATATATATATATATATATATATATGTACTTATGATATTTCTGCTGTCAAAAGAACAAGCTGTTATTTTAGAGTGTAAAGTTAACAATATCACTTTAATAATTCTCCCTTATTAAAAAGAAACCCCTTAACATGGCTTAACACAGACAAAGGAAAACCAAATTTCTGTTAATCAAACTTGTGATTAACACTAAATGAACCATTCCTGATTCCATGCTAGATAAAGCGAACAGGATCATGTGAAGTGTTTACAACCTCATTGTAGTCCAGAAGGAAAGGCTTAACATAACTAAACAACAACTGGGGAAAAACCTTAAAAAGGCTGTTCATAAAATCAAGTTTTATTCATGACAGCTTAAACACTTTCTGCTGTCAAACAAATGTGCTCGTATGCATACATAATACATAATAATCTAAATAACTGCTTGTGCACCCTAAACCCTGAAGGTTGAGCATAGATGCATCGATTTTGTTGTATGCTACCAGCAACAATGTTCACTGCGAGTGAGCAACTTTTGTTTTTAGAGACTTCAACTTATAATAATTTATAAATATAATAATCAAAAAAGCTATGGCTGTAAAGAAAGCTAGGAGGCTATATATATATATATATATATATATATATATAGAGAGAGAGAGAGAGAGAGAGAGAGAGAGAGAGAGAGAGAGAGAGAGAGAGAGAGAATGCGTGCTCTGCCATATGTTGCTTGTAAGAAATTTTAATGCATTGCATACATGCAATGAATCAAGTGGCTGGCCGTAACATCTTAATTGTGCTTTATGTATGCACATACTGTTTACAATAAGCAAAGTAAACAAACAGCGGTGCACACACAAGAGGCAGGAGTACAAGAGTACAAACATACTTTGCTCCTTAAACTGCCTGGGAAATCAATCAGAGTTTTCTTAAATTCTATTAGTAATGATTATTTCTGTATTCACTTATATATGCTCAGTTTAAATGAGCACACCCTCCACAAATCTCTCTTTTAAATTAGTATTTTTATGGACATACATTAGATAAAACTGTAACAAATGTATCAAAAAATTAGTTCAAAAATTTGTAGCCTAAGCTACACACCAAAACTAAAATGTTGCAGAAAATTCTTCAAAACAATTTTAATAAATAGAAAAAATCAGGTTAGGACTTGTTCACTCTTAGGTTTTGTTGTTTAATTAGGTACAGTTTTGGCTTTGGTGCTATGTTGCTCCTAATAGACTTGGGCGGTAATACTTTATACCGCTGGATCTAAAAATAGCAACGGTGTCAATTTCAATACCTTTATTCCGTAATAAAAACAATGCACTTAAATAGGAGACAAGCAGTAAATAATAATAAATAATATTATTTATTTAATGCCTACAAATGCGTATGCGTGATTGTCATCATGGGACAGTGTGGAGGAGAAAGAGAGAGAGAGGTGATGTAATATGGCGAGTCTCGCACCAAGTGACCTGCAGTGTTTGCGTGTAAATAAGAGAGCATGCTGTCTGTGTTGCTTGGTTCTCTCTTTCTCTCTCTCTCTCTCTCATGCACACACACATAGAGAGAGAGACACACACAACATCCACGTGGATCGCGTGCTCGCTCGGGAGTGATATTGTTACCAGCGACTGCTCCCTTTTAGTTACTGACCACTCCCGCGCTTTTTTCGGAATCAAACACACAAAGAGAGAGAGAGAGCGTGGTGCTGTGCGTCTCTCTCGCTCTCACATTTCACATTTTAGGTGCTTTATTGGCATGACAAATAACTGTACATTTGTTTAGCCAAAGCAGTGCAGCGTTGCTGCGTACAAATAAGAAGGCATAAGAAAGGCAAACAAATATGAATATAAAATATAATACAGAAATAAAGAAAAGAGAATAAAAAAATTAAAAGTTAAAACTTAAGTTAAGTGTGTGTGTGTGTGTGTGTGTGTGTGTGTGTGTGTGTAAGAGAAAGATAGAGCTTGGTGCTGTGCATTTCTCTCTCTCTTGTCTCTCTTTCTCTCTGTGTGTGTATGTGAGAGAGAGTGTCCCACGCAGATCTCTAATACGAAAAAGACAAACAGGTGACCACGAACCTAAGGTCGCATATACAGTTTTCAGTTTCTGAATGGTTTAGGCACAAGCCAACAGTTTGGTGACGCTGTCTGAGCCTTACGCCATTTTTTTTTTTTAAGCGCGGTAATACCGGATACCAGGGTAACATAGGGAGGAGGTTTGACGGTATCAAAATTTGAATACCGCCCAAGCCTAGCAGCTAATGCTTTATGTTAGCCTTGTGAGATTAGCAGGGGAGTCTTTAGATCACATGAACATTAGGCACACACATGGATGTGGTTATAGCAACTAATAGTTTATTAATCACCATCTTCGTACCGGTTTACTTTCCAATACAACAAACATGACTTCCAAGATAAAAAATAAATGCATAAAACTTAAAGATATCCAGTTGAGCAGACTTTGAGTGTATATATGGTGTAAAATTGGAAAGTCAATATTTGCAAAGATATGTAATGGTGTGTGGGCAAGCCATAGGATGTACTTTCCAATTTTTCACCACATATACACTCAAAGTCTGCACATACATGGACTAGGGATGCTCATTTCGGTTAATTTTGCTGACCAACAGCTGCCGCTCGTTAATCGGTTATTAACGGTTAACTGGTCAGATTACTATTAAATAATTATACATTTTTTAAAACAAATTGACTTGTCTATTTTGTATCTGACACATTAAATATTGCATTTTAAAATACTGATTTATTTTAACATGCAAAAATATTAATAATAGAACATAACAATTGAGCACCTTTACGCACCTGCAGTGTTTCCAAAGGCATAGAAAAACAAAATAAAATAAATAAAATTAGTAAAATAAATAGGCCTGCCCTAAAGTATTTTCACTTAAATAATTAATTTAGAGAACAAAACGAAAACACTGACTGATCCTTTTTAAGAACCAGCATACGCTTTTTTTTTTTTTTTTTTTTTTCCCAATCATATGTTTTTTTTCTTATCAAATAAAAATAGCAGACTTTCTCAAATCGCTCGCTCCACGGAAAATATGCATTTATTTAATACCCCGATGTTATTATTATTTCACAAAACCTTTATACATTTTTAATAGAAATCATTATTTTAAAGATTAGGCTATGTCTTTATATAAGGTTTCCTCTCTCTCAGTTGAAGTGCGCGCGCTGCATGATGAAAGACAATGAAAACGCGCACATATGTTGACTTTTTGTAAACAGTTTTGTTGTTTAAATATGTTGTTTAATATTGCAATAATTTGCATAAATGCTTTATAAGCTGTAAAATGAAAGCTAAAGCCTATTTGTTGTGTTCATGACGCAGATCCAAGAGGCGATCAGCATCAATGCTGGTTTGTCATCAACTCGTCTTTATCAAACAGCAATATTCTTCTTCCATTTTGCCTCTTTGGCAAATAAGTCTGTAGGCACGTGTGGTCATACGTTATCGTCCAGAGTGTTAACAAATATGTCTAATTACAGCAAACGTGTCCGGGTGCTCCGGTTTCCCCCACAGTCCAAAGACATGCGGTACAGGTGAATTGGGTAGGCTAAATTGTCCGTTGTGTGTCTGTGAATGTGTGTGTGGATGTTTCCCAGAGATGGGTTGCGGCTGGAAGGGCATCCGCTGTGTAAAAACTTGCTGGATAAGTTGGCGGTTCATTCCACTGTGGCGACGCCGGATTAATATAGGGACTAAAATGAATGAATGAATGACAGCAAATGTGATTTTCCATTCCAAAAACGTGAGGCTCACCTCGCTCCTTTTGACAAGGAAAAAAGGTGCAGTCCTCTTTTTTTTATGTCACTATAAAATGACTGAATGAGCTGGATATTGATTGTGCAAGAGTGTTGCTGTCTATGTTGTTACAATTGTAATATTTAGTACTATTGTGATATTCAAGATTTGTAAATTTATACAGCTCTGGATAACTTGAAATAGTGAGCACTAGTACAAACTGCTGCTCTGGGGTGAGCCGCGTGCAAAACAATTGTGGTTTTTAGTAAACCATTCAAAAGATGCCCCTCTTAACGCAAAAAGCACATTC